AAAAAAAAAAATATACAAACACCCCCCCCCCCCCCCCCCCCCCCCCCCCCCAAAAAAAAAAAAAAAAGTTACTCAAGTAATCATAACTGGGTAGATGTAACTATAGCTACTATTGATCTCTGCTTTTAAGAAAGCCTCACTTCAAAAATCCTGAACCATCCTACTAAGAGTAATGTGGTGTTTGTTTTAAACTTTTTTATATTGATACAAGTCTTATTAAAGTGAATTTTACATTTTTAAAGCAAGACGTTCAGGATACAGCTAAGAATTAAAGAATCCACCATGTATTTCTTATTTGCCTTAATATTTAAGGTCAAGCCAGGTCTTTAACTGTTTTTAGTTAATATTAAAAAAAAAAAAAAAAAAGATTAAACTTACCATTTGACAGCTGCGTGAACTTCCTCAACTCTGCCTAGGACCTCCATGATGCTCCCTGTGAGTCCAACTTCACCAGTGCCACTTGAATCCAACACTCTCATCTCTTCTGTCTCTAACAGACATGAAAATGCATGATGGTGAACTGTTGTGAGATTATTTACAATAGAAACTGCCTAATGTTTGGGCATAAACAATATCAGGTATTTGATGCTTTCCTGGCTTTGGTTTGTAAAGATGCTTCCCCTCCCACCCTAATTTGCTCTGTGATTTATCTGCATGCTACCTCAGTTCACCGCCTTGCAGTGGATCTATAATAATTCAGAGATATGCATGCTTAAAAACGGCAGAACTCACCCGAGTTCCAGTCCGTATCCTGTCTGCAATTGCAGCATCATTTTGTTGTACGTTCCTGTGCATGCATACATCTACACATACTCGCAGGTAACAAACTGTCCACTATTTATTATGTGTGATATTGTTATTTGTTACTGTAGCGTGAATTCATTGCACTCTATTTTTTGTATATTTGCTATATTGTGAATATCATACAGTCTGACACAGGAAGAAAAAAAAAAGAACTATAAATAAATTAACTCATTCAAAATTGCTGCATTTAAAGTCCATTTGTAAACTCAAATTAGTGTCAAGTTTGTTCTGTAATTAGAGGTCAGTTGCTTTTATCAACAGAATGGGCAGAATTTGGACAAGAGCAGAAATCCACATAGGGGACCAAATAACTGATTGAGTTTGTGGGACAAAAACATGTAGCCGGTAATATGGGGTGCTAAGATACAATTAATTAAAATAACTGGCGATATAATCACATTATTTACTTCACTACACGTTACAATTTACAAAATGATTGCACAATCACAACAGTGAATCCCACTGGCTATGGTTTAAAACATTTTAGTTGACAGGCTATTATCGATACCAACAGCTTCCCATAGAGGAGGATCAGGGCGCCAGCATCAGATTTAACACAGCCTTTAAACACACACACACACACCCACACACACACACCATAAATAGTTGATTCACAAAGATGTGCTCACATTAATCTCACTGCGTGCTCAGGTGGGGGCGCAAATATAACATCATAGCAGGGCAATTTTTTGAGCAAAACAGTGGGAAAAGTGAGGGTGTAAAAACACCCACATCCCCCAAGGAAGCGCTGCTCTCAGAGCTGGCCAGAGGAACAAGCAAACAAAGCCACTTCTTTAGGCATCCATGTCAGCAGGGGGAGCCAACGCGCACTTGAAGCCTCACACAGCTTATACTTCTTATTGAGTTACCTTGGATTTAAATTAAAATTGCCAACAAATGCTCATTTCTGTCAAAAACCTTTGTGTGTTTTTGGGTAACATTTGTTAGCGAGAACAAGAAGTGGGCTGGTTCCCAGCATCAAGCTGCTACAAAGTTTCTTCTACTCCATAAAAGTTCCCCGTCATTCATTTTCTAGTTTGTCCTTTTAATGAGATGGCTGTAGACTAGTAAACAGTACACTTCCCTTCCCCCACATGTTGCTAGCTTGATGAAAGGAGCCCATCACGCTTTTCCTCAACAAAGAAGAAAGACTTCTTGATGGTAAAAATGTGTTGTGGAAACCCGAGGAGCAGAATCCACCACTCTTGTCCAAGATAACTCGTGATAATAAATGTACAGCAATATTTTAGTAGCAAAACGTTGCTTTTATATCTCAACTAAAATTAATTTGATGTTACAAGTTTTAATGTTTGTGCTAATATCACAATACTTTGAAATTCAAACTCAAAGTCACATAGAAAATCTCACACCAGCTTGTGATCATTGTGAACTTTCGCCCAGCACTACAGCGTGACTAAAGTTTCCAGGATATCATCACAGATCAGTTTAGTAAGACCCCAAAATGATATTTATTAACAAAACATGATCACAAACATTCTTGGTCCAAACATTGATTAAGTTAAATTAAAACTTGAGTTAACTTATCTCAGTTTTACCTTCTCAGACTTTCAGAAACAAACCTGCTTGTCAGAAGCAGATTTCTTGAAGGTGCCCGAACATAACTGTCATACAATATTCAGGGAAAAGATCATCACTTAAACTAACACTGCATAATCAAGTTACTTCAAGTTGAGTTATGATAAGGCGTTGAAACAGACACACACACACACTTCAAACTCCCCCATCTTAAACCCCTCCCTAACCTCCCAAGATCTGGTCGGGTTGCACAAGAATAAGACACAATTATTAACTTCGGTACCAACATCAAAACATCAAAATATGCAACGTTCTACTTTGACTTTTCATCTCAATTCCACATGTGAAAGCAATATTTTCTTCTGATTTCAAGACCATCATGCATCTACAGAGGAATCTGGCACTGGTTAATCTTTCTTTGACAATGTAGGTACAACAGGCACTTTATACCCATGGGTATTTTCTTTCTTTCTTTCTTTTTTTTTTTTTTTTTTAAGAACTGTTGTAACAAATATTACCAGCATAAACATAAATTAACATTACCAGTTTATCTTGAAATTGTCCAGAAAACAGTTACTGTCAAGGAACTGGAAGGTTTGAAACATCTGCAAATAGTTTTCTTTCGTAAAATTATTTCACGTAGAAAACAGTCCGATGTCCAACCCAAGACAGTAATTGAGCCCAGAAGAGGTAAAATACTAAAGTTAAATATTAGTTTGAAATATCTACAAATTAGTGGCTTGAACCTAAAACAGTACTGCCCCCTTTCTTCAAACTCACATCTTCCAGTCATATTTTTTAAGATCATTTAGAAATGTTTTAAAATAGCCCTTTAAAGGGTAAACCAGCAAAAACGAAAAAAAAAAAAAAGTATCAAGTATCAACATAATCTGCCTAGTCCTCCATCTGAACTTTGGGTCCTCAAAAACAATTAACAGGGTCATTAATGAGCTGTTCACAACCACAGATTAAGCAACACAACATACACACACACACACAAAAAAAAAAAAAAAAAAATGAATGTTGGCATCGGTTTTAGTGTAAATGAAAGTAGAGTTTTTCTTTTCTTTTAAAGACACTGTGATACCAGCCCTCATGTTTAACCACAGTGCTTCACAAAAAAAAAGAAATTAAGAAAAAAGAAGAATTGAAATATGGTCCCTTAAGGAATGAGCAGTCCAACATCGAGCCCAAAACCAATTAGTTGAAATAAAGAGTGAGCCAGGACTCTTAAGACTGAGCTAGAGGGGAATTTCAAACGAAGACAGAGTTACCGGACGAGAAAAGGTGCACAAACGTCCAACAAGGTGCATTGCATCAGAAATGGGAGATTTTGGAAAAGGCAGAGTCTTGAGCTGGGATTTAAGACGTGTGGCACTGAACGCCCCCGGTGCTGGTGTAGTCGTCCTCATCCATGTAGTAGTACTGATGTCTGTGTCTTCTTCTGCTCTCCAAGTCACAGTCCTCCAGGTCAGCGTAGATGTAGAGGTCCTCGTCCATGCTGTCCGTCTGCTCTGTGTCTATCTTTCCGGGGAGGTAGCGCTCGAGCTCCTTCAGCTTGTGCTTGGGGAGGAAATTGGCTGGTGGGAACACCACCTAGTGGACATGAGCAGAGTGCTGACTCAGCTTGGCTGTATACACACACACTTTCTAGATTCGCTGTTTTGAGAACCTTTACAAAACAAAAACAAAACATTTTTCCCTTCTACATTGCAATTATGCTCTACTTTGCTCCCGTCTGTCACGTAAAATCCTGTGTGACTCAAACAGGAAGTCCTGTAGATATTTCCTCAGATGTGTCATCTTCACATGCATAAAATCCTGATTTATTCTTGTCCAGTCTATAGTGAAAAGGTGCAATGATTATGCAAACAGAGTAGTTCAAAACAGGGATATTATTAACTACTGCAACAGCTCGTCTGTGCTCAAGATCTGAGTATTGATTTACTTCACAAGTTGAGCCACTCATACCTTACCAGCGACGGTAATGCTAACTAAAGCTAGCTTAAACATTGTGGTTTGTCCCAGTTTGGTGAAGCCAATGGGTTTCTAATCCTACAGGGAGAATGAACACATGAAGCTCTGTCCAAAGATTTTAAACAAGAACAACTAACATAGCATATTTATGTGATTAGATGAACATAACATCTTTCTACTGACTGTGGGGAATGACTAATCATTACTGTTGTGATACTTGTGTTAGTTAAATATTAAGCCTGATGCTCTGGAAGAGCTGTGTCAGTCTGCTGTCAAGGAGCAGAAAGGATTAGTCTGCTTCTATTGAAGTGAAAATAAAATCCTACAGGTCTTACCGAAAAGTGAATAATAAGACGTCCTTTCTCAAAAGGTCTGCGATACATAGGCATCCCCTCGTTGAGGACACACTTGGTGTCTCCAGGCTTGATTAGTTCCCCTGTAGTTGGAAACAGAAGGAGATTGGCTATAGCAAACCTGACAGGATATTCCATCAAGAGCCTTTAATAAAACTCAGAAACAATAAATAAGCTTCTGCTGCTCTACTGCAGAAGATCAGGTGATTCACAGCTGGTTCCACATATATCCAGTCCAGTCTTGAATACTTTACAAACTAACAAAGGTTGATCAACTTAAACCCTTTAGAAACAACTAAATAAATTTGTAATATGTTTACCTGGACGAGCCGTAACGAGGAGAGTCCTGCTGTCCAGTGTTTGAACCGGCCTCTTAAAACCACACAAAGCCTCGACCAGCTGCAACTCCATCGACATGAGCAGGTCTTCTCCTCTCCTGAGGACAGAAACAAGTTCAGCAACTAAGGTCATTTCATTTTGACGTTTCTGAGCAGCCAACACATTAAAAGACAAAATAACATGTTACTATTCCTGGGGATTAGTAAGTGTCTCACTTATGTAGTTTTCAAATTTTGTACACGTATTGTTGTATCGCCTTATAATGTAAACCTTGCTAAGCTAATCTACAGTATCCAGAAAGACATGTCTGATCCTATTTTGTTTCGTACCTGGTGAAAAGTGCATGTTCCTGCTGGTCGAGGACGATTATGATATCACCTGGTTCCAGCCCTGGCTCCTGGTCCCCTTCACCATGAAAAACTATTTTCTGCCCATCTTTCATTCCTGTGAAAAACATCAGCTACCGAGTTCAATCGTCGGTCTCAGCAACTTTACAGCTTTTTTTTTTTTTTGTTATATAAACAGACTCAATAAGTCACACCTTTGTCAACGTGAACCTCCAGAATCTTTTTCTGTCGCATGATCTTGCGTCCTGCGCATGTTTTGCAGCGGTCCTTCTGGCTGATTCGCTGTCCTTGTCCCTGACAGTTGTGGCACACGGTGGAAACCTGCTGCACCATACCTGGGAGCAACTGATGCATGCGTACCTGCACACCCGTACCATGGCAGGACATGCACATCTGTGCAGCTCCTTTACGACTTCCACGACCTGCCATGGAGAAAAAGGGGAAATAAATAAATAAATCATCAGCACTGTGGAAAAATATAGAATATAAGCACATTTTTGACATTGGATAGGAGTGGCATTTAAATAACCATGTATTTAAATGAATTTTGTGTGAATTTAAAACAAACAAGAAACACATTTTGTCACCGGCTTAAACGGTTGTTGCCATACTAATTGAATTCAACAGCATTTTGAACCTGCTCCAACGAAGAACTTTTTAAATAATTACTTGGTTTTGACATGTTGTGCAGCTGAGTAAGCCAGTGAGTCTCTGGTACAATCCACCTGTCAAACAGTTCACTTCCATCATTCCAGAAGCACACAGAGCAGCGAGGAGCTGGAGGAGGCCTCAACCTTTTCCTCAGATAACGACTCCTTTGTGTGTTTTTTAATGATTCGGCTGCTGAACACATCCCTGCTTTTTGATGTTTTCACAGATTCTCTGCCAAAGGTAAACCTCTGAGATGTGGTGGAAACTAAAGGTCATTCTGCATCAGAGAGATGACACAACTGTAGATGAAATATGGTTATTAACCTCACACACAGACACGCACCACATTTCATGAGCCTGTGAGTTATAAGCAGACGGAGAATCTGAAAAGGGCAGTTTGTGAAGGCGACTGTGTGAATGCTGATCCGCCGCAGCGTCAGAAAAAGGCTTTTATATAAAACTGGAGCTTCTAAGGATTTTTCTTTTTGTTATTAAATGACAATACCTAAATGTTATTTGCTCTGCTGGGTAAGGTATGCTCATGTCATCCACTAAGAATTATAAAATGATTTCTGGTGACAACACAATGTTTGTCTTATGAGATCGGGAAAAATGTTTAAGCATTAAATCAATATTTTTAAAAAAAAAAATCTAACTTGTAATTCCGAACTTCTTTAATCTTCATAAAATAATACTTTTAATATTATAGAAAAAAGGGGTTTTTATCTTGGTTGAGAGATTTGGAGTCTTGCCATGAAAATGTTAAGTTCATACCACATGTGGAACAGTGGATGAGTTTTTGACAATAACAATGACTGCTTTAGTTTTGACAGTAAACAAACACCATCATTCAATGAATAAAACCAACTACTTGCAAACCTCAGGACTTAAAACTGCAGAAGTGTTTACCTTCACATCTCTCACAGATGCAGTTCTTCTGTACAGAAAGTTTTCTTGTTGCGCCGTTGTAAAGATCCTCCAAGGTCACAGTGATTTGATGAACTATATTCTTTCCTGTGGTGAAATAAAACACACCACTGTTATACATTTCACAGGCTTTGGGTATATAAGATTCATAACAATAATGCACCTTAATATCTACATAAAAAGGCTTATTTTTGGGCAATAACTTGGAAAATATGTTTAGACAAAGTAGATACATCATCTAAAGATCTGTCACCAACCTTTGATTACTATCTGTTATTTATTGGATGCAAAATTCACTTTGCTCTTCAATCTTCTAGGCTCAGTTCACTAGACTGATATCTTGAAAAATCAAAAAAAAAAAAAACACATCACAATTCTTAGATGATTCTGTTTAGCGAAGCTTCACTAAATATTTTATAGTGATAGTGTGTTGTAAGCCGATATCGGGGTCTCTACGCATCTTTATTATTCTAAACTTTCCAGGCACAAATTTACAGCATTCTCAATCAATTTTCAGCCCATTTTAATTGTATAAATTTGAACATTTAGTACAGATATACAGAAGCCATTTCAAATGTTGTTTGGTTTTATGTATATAAAATGCAACCACCAAGAAAAACTCGGTGCATAAGTAAGTGGAAGGGGAAAAAAAAAGGAGAGTAAGGAACAACTTTTCCTCATGTTTTTCCTAATTTATCTGCCAAGATTCATCCGACATCATGTTTTTCTACCAAACATCTATGAGTGAATGAATCCACTAGTGCTTCCCAGCATAGTGAAAACTGATGACTTGCGCAGCACCACCTTATTTTCATGTCAATATATCTTGAGAGGGGTTAATACCAGATGGAACACTTCAGAAAAATCTAGCTCCTGTTTCTCAACGTGACAAAGCAGCACGTTCAAACGTCCGGCAGGTTCGTCACTCGTCTTTCTTAATGTTCAGAAGGAAGAAAATATGACAGGCTTGAGAATTACTTATGAAAGCTAAAAATAAATCCTACAAGAAACTCTTTGAAGGCAACAGTGGCACTAACCTTCCTGTTCTGTCCTCTAGTGGCAAATGTTATGAACTACATTACATAAGAATCCTATCATTTGCCCACTTCTGCATACTTCCACTGTTACATATCAGCACCAACCACCTTTATCTGGCAGATACATTGACATTTTTATTTGTACTGCTCATTACTATAACTTTTTTTTTTTTTACATTTTATATAATTATGATACAATATTTTCCTTTCTCTTAATAGAAATTCTGATTTATATTATTTAGAAACACTACGCAGCATTCACTTCATGCCTTCAGGAGCCACTGTGAGCTTTTACAAACATTTGCTCTCACCTTTTCGTTCTCTGTGCATTCGACTACCTCCACCAAAAAATAGGTCAAAGATATCCATGGGAGACGTGAAACCGCCGCCACCACTGCCGCCGCCTGTTCCTCCTTCTTTTATAGCCTTTTCACCTCCACGGTCATACACCTCTCTCTTCTTGGCATCTGACAGAACCTCGTATGCCTGCGAGATCTGTTTGAACTTCAGGGTAAAAAATAAATAAAAAAATCAAGATTAGAAAACCGCCACAGCTTCTGTGGTTATTTGTAGCAATATCAAGGGGACAAACCTTTTCCCCTTCAGTAGGGTTTTTGTCAGGGTGATACTTCAAGGCTAATTTGCGATAGGCTTTTTTAAGTTCATCGGGAGTTGCATTGGGTTTCACACCAAGTGTGTCATAAAAGCCTGTTTCTTTCACCATCGTTGCCTCTGTCAGATGATCTTAAGAAACGGAAAGAAAGAAAAAGAAAAAGAAGGGTCTGAACCATATCTTAACGCACCCAATGAAACTAACTTTGCCAAAAATATATATATTTTGTCTGTCAGTGCATAGCAACATCACAATAAAAATTTTAAGAACATCTCAAATGACAATTTCTGCAAAAATTTAATTCTTGTCGCCAAAATTGAGTGTTTCTCTTCAGAACCTGACAAATTCAACTCTTCCAGCTCAGACAAAATACCCACATGCGACAGGCAATCCAGCACAAAGAGCACCTCGTCCCGTTCCAAGTGTTTTAAATGCTAGTAAACTCCACAGGGAGTGAAACAATGTGGGGCTTTTTTTTTTGGACACAACTTGCTATGAACATTTGAACTCTTGTCAGAAACTTCAACTGTTGTGTGAAATAACCAAGTTTAAGCCTTAAAACACATGCTTTCCTTCCCCCCTTTTATGCCAGTAGCTAAATCTCATATGAGTACCATTACACTGACACAAAACTGTTACCCTCAACAATCTCCTTAAAATTTGTTTTATTTATGTTACACTTTTAAGTCGATGTTGTGAACCATCCTATTATATGAATTAATAGTTAATAGGTATTGGTTATTTGAAAAGCCATAGCCAAATGACAACATACTGAAGAAAGGCAACTTGTTTTAATTTTCTCTGCCACTTCAGTAAATGAGGGAGAAAAAAAAACATACTTTATGGTAAGGAATGTGAAACTTAGGCTAAATAAAAGGACAGTTATTATGCACCTAAAAATCAAAATATTTATGTAAGTTTGTAGAAAAATCATGTAGCAGTACATAAGAAAGTTAGAAATTAAGCCTTTTTTTGGTAATGTTTCGGGGAATTTTAGCCTTAAAATGCCGTAACTTAACGTTTGCATACTTGAAGTCCTCCTTAGGTTTTTTATTTTATTTTACAGCACAACGCAAATAATCTCAACAACAAATTGATTTCCTTTTTTGTATTTTGGCAAGCGTTTGTTTATGACAGAATTCATTCATGAATGATTTGGTAGATATTGGTCGTTGTATTCATAAATCAACAAACGTCACATGTTTCGCGTTAAGCGATTTTTACCACACTGGTCTCTAGTCTTTAGGTTGAATATGGGTGCCAATTAAGGTTTAAGTTTCGATTCATAATAACAACATTGGTGAAACTAGTTTGGAGTATTTCCTAGATATAATACAGCTGTTTTTTGTTTTTAGAAGGATTCCTGGGCAATTACAATTGTTTTTTTACGATTGTATAAGACTTAATGTGTCTGAATATTAACCTTCCACACAATCGCAGGTTAAACCGCTGGTTGGATCGGCACATAAACTGAAACTGATGAGGCCCTTCGTAGCTAATTTAGCTACTTGACCAGGTCAAATCTAAACTGCTAGGTAGGATGACCCTCTAGCCTTTGGCCAAGCTAAGCACAGCTGACAGTGACAGAAATAAAACGTGTGATAATAACTGTTTTCCAACCTTAAATGAAGACAACAAGCAGCAGCCTCACAGAAAGCCTTTCTTCCAGAATCTTCTGACCCGCGTGCCAAGCGAAAACACACCAGCCCCGTTCACGTTATAATCTCGCGAGACGTTTGTCCAGTCATCACCAAGCGGGGACTGCAAGGGATATCTTGCTAATGGTAAAAAATATTTTAAAAATTATAAAATGCCTATTTGCTGGCTTGTCAGTGAAGAGGGTACCCATAAACCAATCCAGTTACCTCATTTACGTGCGGTTGTTGTTGGGCGAGGTCCAGAAACGACAATTAAAGACAAGAAATGCTCTCGGCAGCAAGGTACCCAACATCAGTTTGTATGCTAACATGAGTATGCTAACCTAATCTAATACATACTGCTTTTTTACATTACTTTTAGAATGCTACTTACTCGATGAAATGATAAAAATGTTGGTGTTGCTATATTTAGTATAATAAAAAGTTGTGCAAAACTAGTAACAATCACTGCCAGGTTCTTGGGTCAGTAATAAAATCCTATAACAGCATAGTGGGCAACAGGTAAATGGGTGGTGGTGGAAATATTTTTAAGAAAATGTTGTTTCCTTTATTTATGTCTATTGGCTCTCATGCATTTCACATGTTAAGGTGAAAAGACCTAAAAAGGGAGGACCTTTTTACTCCCACCTTTTTAGGGAGGAGTGTGACTGTTTTAGGGATTGTATTGCTGTATTTATATTTTGCTTCTATCAAGAGTCATAATCTCTGATAACTTCAAACAACTTTTTGCTGGAGTTGGAGTCACATAACTATATTTCATTAAAGTGGACTGGAATTGGATTAGACATCATCTCCCAACAATTATCCACTGTCAAGGTGGGTTTTAAATGTTCTGTAGAAAATGGCTCCTTTGTATATTTTTCAAGTCAAGTAGAAAAAGTACAAAATGTGACTGGGGAAAATGACCAGCACCTATATTATGTTTTGTGAAGGTATAGTGATAATAATGTAAAAACACTTTCTCTAATTGAGCTTTGCCTAAATGACTGCTATCCCTTCCTTCCCAGTTGAACTGAAAGCTGAGTGCAACAAAGGTTATGTCAAAGTTAAGCAGGTAAGACTGCAAAATTTTGATGAATCACTTTTGCTGAAGCATTTTTTGGATTAAAATTTCTTTACTGCTTATGAACTAATTCTGACTTTCATGACTTTTTTTCTTTTTTAAAGCTGGGCTTAAACCCCACCTCAGTAGACTGTGTGGTGGTGGGGAAAGGCAATGAGGTCAGAATAAAACCTGGACAGAAGCTCCATGTTGTCAATCAACTTTACCCGTACACCATACAGTTCAAAGAAGATCTCACTGGGCACCACAGCAGCATCAAAAGTCCAAGAGAGCAAACATCGGAGAACAGTGACAGCCAGAAAAATGTTCAAACTCTAAAAGCTCCAAAACAGAAAACAAATGGCTCTCCATCAGTGTGTCATGGAGAAAACACACAAAAAAGTGTGAGGAAAAATATGTCCCTGTGCTTAAGATGCTTGTTTTATTATTATTTTGATTGTGTTGCAGTCTGCTGAACATCTAACAATTTGAAAAATGTTGATTCCTCATCTGTTGTAGGAAAATGTCGGACATTGGAGCCAAGGTCTGAAGACTTCAATGCAAGACCCTCAGATGCAGGTCGGTGCCTTACAAAAATGATGTGAAACCTCTGTCATGCTCTCCCCACAGCCTAATTTGTACACTGATGTGAACCTTTTTCTACTTTTCAGGTTTACAAGGATGATAAGGTTGTTGTGATTACAGACAAATACCCCAAAGCTCGCTACCACTGGTTAGTCCTTCCCTGGCAGTCGATTCCCAGCCTGAAGGCTTTACGTGGAGAGCACTGTGATCTTCTGAGACACATGCAGCAGGTTGCTGACCGCATGATCCAGCAATGCCCAGATGCCAGCACACTGCGGTTCCGGTCAGGTTACCACGCTATCCCAAGTATGAGGTAAGGCAAAGGCTGTTTTATTACTGCTGTTACCTGGCAATGTGACTGTTGTTAGTAAAAACCTGAACAGCTAATGACTGTTTTTTTTTCAGTCATTAGCTGTTAACTTACATGATATTGGCTTCATATTTTTAAATAAACTTGTAACATCTACTGGAATACAGCATGTCTCTCCACCTTTCCAAACAGTGTTCTGTTTCTACACTTGCATTTTTTTAAATCTTTTAATGTCTTTTTAGTTTATTATATCAGGAAAATATATATATGTCATGTTGGTCATGAAAAGACCAACTTGTTCATCTTCACAAAGGATATTTATGTTAATGACTGATCTGATAGCACAGATAAAGACATACTTATTTACTTTTACAGTCACATCCACCTCCATGTAATCAGCCAGGACTTTGACTCTCCCTGCTTGAAGAACAAGAAGCACTGGAACTCTTTTACAACAGAATACTTCATCGATTCTGATGGTGGGACTACATTTATGTCTGTTACCATTTTCTGCGTATTTCACTGTATTTAATAGCATAACTACAGTATTTCAAAGAATGCGTAATCTGTTTTATTTTTCCCCCCAACAGATGTTATTCAGATGCTTGAAGCAAGTGGAAAAGTCACTGTTAAAGAAGGTTCCAGTGAATTGTTGAAACTACCTCTCTGCTGCCATGTGTGCCACAAAGAGCTTCCTACAATACCTTCTCTGAAGGAACACTTGAAATCTCACTTTCCCAGATAATTATGTGACCTTAACAGAGAAGTAAACACATTTAATGGTGTTTAGCATATTTTTCTAAAATGTTGTTTTGCATGAAGTGTTGTAATTATGCAAGTTGAAAACTTGTCACTTGTTTTGTACATTTTTGAAAATGTCAACGTCGATATGCTTGTCCAGAGTGCATTTGTCAGTCCTAAGTCAAATGTTGATCCACTCTAACTTTATATTTGTTTGTACACTTCAATTTCAAATAGGTTTAGTTACTCATTCTGATGCAATAAATGTTTTCTAGAAACTATACACTTTTCTTCAACTCCTTTATTATATTCTGAAAGAAAACAATTTTATGCCATACTTAAGTTCTGACCATTTAAAATGGTTTAGGTACATAGTTAACTTGCTGTTTTTCACTGAAAATCTAAAAAAGTATATGCTGTGCTTTTAAAAATTACATTTAATATCAGATAATGATAGAACTATGAAGAGGTGCTTTATTAATATTCAGAATGTATGCATTCAGTACAATTTGGCTTTACTTCACTTATTTACTTTACAGCCATCACAAAAATTGAGTGATTTCCAATTTGACTACTTACTCACCAAGTTTAATCCAATAGGATAATTTAGCCTTAACTGTAAGTAATGATCACATACTGGAGCTTTATTCTTCTTACTATTATAACTAATGATTCTATCTTTATGTGCTTAATCCTGTTTTGGAGGTGCTGTGGATTGAAGTGGGTTTTTAACCCCAGACGACTACTTGATTGGAGAGTGAACAGAACCTTGCTAAAGAATATGACTGAATTAAGAAGTCAAAATAACACTATCCCTAAACTCGCATTTACATACATAATTTCTTGAAATATTATTCTAAATTTAGGATCTAGTTGAGCAAGACAGCTACATTCCCGTTTCAAAGGGAAACAGAATAAACGTGCCATTGTCGCCCTCTAGTGGTAATATTTCCAAACAGCAGTTTCAGGGAAAAATGGTACAGACCGTAGCCAGAAGTTTCTGAAGTTTCTTTGACCATTGCGTCACTCTGTGAATTCAACATAAATGAAAATGAGAAGATGCATTTTAAAAAAGGAAAAGTTGTGGCTGGCCCGTACGGGGATCGAACCCGCGACCTTGGCGTTATTAGCACCACGCTCTAACCAACTGAGCTAACCGGCCATGTGTTGTCGTCCTCAAATATGTATTTAAGTAGCTTAATGCCGTGGGATCTCGTTGAAGTTGGTACACAAAGAGATGATACGAGATACAGCTGGTAGAAAACCGTTTAGGTTGCAACAGATATGGGGCTGGGCTGAAGGGTCACCTTCCAGCTGGACTACAGCTCTAAACACACCTGAAACTAACTTCACTGCGGTGGAGCTAAGTGCAAATGGATGTCACACTTTTCAAATTGTCTTTAAGACAAATTAGAGACATACCCAGATCTCATTTCATTTTACTTCAAAATGATCCATTGATATGTGTTGCCCAGTGACATATATTTTAAGTCAGATAAATTGACGTTTGTGGCTATTGTAAACATATTCAAGGGATATCAAAACCTTTGCAATGACCTGTAGAATAGTCTTTTTATGCGGCTACATGAAAGCTTTATCACAAAGCTTAGCACAGTTTTCTTTTAGCAGCCATTGTTTTGCATGTAAATAAGTGAAAACAATACAGTATGTTCCTAAAGAATTTATTAGACAAAAACATTGTAGCATATTTTCTGAATTTCTTGACTAATGGACAAAAAAGATCTCTATTTCAATAAATGCAAGATCCTGTGCACTGATACATCGTCTCTGTGTAAGTGTAATAGAGTGCAGGTCTAATTGCCAGCACAACAGTGCTGAATACAATGGTTATATTCATTTTATTTCTCACATGTTATCAAAGCAAAGTATATGTGTAGGTTATATTACCACAGTATTTTTATTTTTATTTTTTTACACTTAGTGAATCAGGTCGCATTATAGCAGAATCAATGTTCAGAGTTGAACATTCGTTAGTCTTTAAGCTGGTCATTAAATAAAACTCTGATATGACAATCACAGAGGTTGCATTTCATCATCTTCTGAGCCTCAGTTCCCTCTCATCCTCGTCCGGCACCAGCAGGTGCTCACCTGGCGAATGAGCATCATCTCCTATACTCTGCAGAAAGTACTCCTCACTTTCACAGCTCTGCGTACTATTCACACAGTTTTTGGCCCTGACTTGTGCCAGCTCGGCGCTGTCACTGGCGTTGCTGTCTTCCGTGCTCTTGCTGGCAGTGCTGCTGTCGTTGCTGTCGCTTGTCTCCTGGCTCTCCTGGCTTTCACTGCTGCTGCTGCTGTCAGTGCTGTCGCTCGCAGCAGCTGAAACATCGCTGCTGTCACTGGCGTCTGCGCTGTCGC